CTGTCTATTTAAAATTTTCAAATAATTATTTTTTAAATTCGATTTCATCTAAATCCATATATATTATTTATTTTATATATTTTTTGTTTTTGTATATTTTTATAGTTTTTATTTAAATATTAAAAAATATAATAAATATTTTTATAAATTTTTCAATTTGTTTATATTTTAAGACATTTTTTTAATAAAATTTTATCATTAAATTATTCTTCTGCTAATTATTAAGATTTCTTTATATTTTATTATTAAAAAATAACATTATTTTATTTATTTATTTTTTTTAAAAAAAATACCTTAATAAAATCATCAAAAATAATTTTACCTTCTTTAAATTAATTTTCAATGTAAATATAGCAATCTTCAATTTATCTATTTTACGCAATTAATTATAAAATTCTATAAATAAATTAATTAATAAATTATAAGGGTTAATAAAATACTATGATTCTAAAGGATTTTTCTCATTAATAAAATTAAATACATTGTCTTTTGTTACGGTTGAGTTTTCATTATCAGCTATAAAAATGTTCAAATTTTATATTTATTTTTCAAGTAATGCACTTTTCTTTTTTAGTTCTTCTTCAATGCAATCTATTTATATTTGAGTCTCCTCTTATTGTTACTATTATTTGTATATTTTATCCATATTTTATTTCAATTCATTATAGTCGTTCAATAAACATTTTGCCGAATCTTATATTTCTTATTATACTTTTTGAATTGGTTAATTTTAATTTCCGTATTACTAATTATAATATCCATGGCCTTGTTAACCTTATGGCTAAGAAGGTTATAATAATTATTATGAAGGTCTATAAGCTGGAACTTAGTTTTGATTGTATTATTAACCTTATGTTTTTTCAAAAAAAGGAAAATTTTTTCCTAAAAATGATTACAATTATTAGATATAGGCAATCTTTTTATATTTTTTTGTTTTTTGTTTGTTTTTTTATTTTTGGATATATTTTTATTACGACGTTTTAATTACTTGCCCATTGTTAAGTATTTGGAAATTTTATTGCTAAAAATCCATCTGGGCTGTAATCATTCTAAAATATTGCATTTACTGTGAATCTATTTACTATAGTTTTTTTTTTTTTATTATTTTTATTAACAAAAAAAAATATACAATCAGCATTTTTTATTCTTATTATAGGAGGATATTATGGATACAAAGGAGGAAACATTATATAAGTTAAGATTTTATAATGTCTATTTTAATATAGGACTTAAACTTATATATAATATATAAATAATTAATTTATAAATTGATATTTTACTGTCTCCTTATAATTCTATAACATTATAGCCATCTGTTTTTTTTAATTTTTTGATAAAAATATAAATATAAAATTTCATTTTATTAAAAAATTACTTATAAATATCTTTTAAGAATTTAATTCAGGAAATTAGTTGAATATTATATAACAAACTTAGTTTATTTAAAAAATTGAATGTCTTTTTAAAAAAATATAAAATTTATTTTAATTTATTTTTACTAATGAGTATATTAACATTCTTTTAAAAGATTTGTCAATTACTATTGCTTTTAAAGAGAAGTATTTTAAGTGATTGGATTATTTTAATTTAAAAACATTTTTCTAAATTTGATTGTATTAATGTTTATTATATATATATATATATTATTATTTATTTCACGATATTTATTATTTAATCTATTATTTATATTTAAATCTATTATTTATTATTAAATCAATTATTTATTATTTATTATTTATTATTTATTATATATTATTTATTATTATTTATTATTTATTATTTATAATTTTTTTTTTAGTTATATAATTAAATATTTATTTTATATAATTAATTTTTATAAAATATAATTTATATATTAATTAATAAATAAATATATATATATATATTTATATATATATATATACATTTAATTATATTTATATATTTTATTCATATTTTATTTATTATTATTTTTATAAAATGTAATTAAAAATAGATTTTTCCTTTTTTTTATTTTCTTTTTATAAATATATTTATTATTTATAAATTTTATTAATAAAATATATCTTTTTTAAATCTATAAATAAAAGCCTTTTATTAAAAAATAATTATATTTTATTCTATGTTAAATTCATATTTTTATTAATTATAAAAAAAATTAAAAAAACACATATTTATAATAATTATATAAATTTGTTTCTTTTTACACAAAATAATATATATTTTTTTTTTTAAATATAATAAAAAGTATTGTTTATAAAATATATATTTTTTTTATTTTTTTCTTAAAATTAACTAATTATTTTTGAAATTTTAGATTTTTGTCATTAATATCGTAATTATTATATTTAAAATTATTCTAATAATTTATATTATATTTTTTATATTATACCTACTATTTAAAGATATTTTTATTTTTATTATTTATTTTATTTTATTACTTCTTTTAGAATTTATTAAAGAAAATCTTTTTTTTTTAATTAATAATTTTTGGATATATAATTAATGATTATATTTTTTTGATTATTAAATATCATTATCTTAATAAGATAATAACTTCAATTGCTAAAATTATAATAAAATTAAGGTTGAATTAGAATTTTCCTTTATATTTACATAGATATTATTATAAATTTTTATAAATAATTATATTATACATGATTTTTTTAAATAAGAAATATATTTTTATAATAAACTATGATAAATTAGAGTCTAAATTAGTATTATTTTATGTTTTATGAACTATCATTGTTAGCTTAGCACTTTTATTTTTAGATTCTAATTTTCATTGTTTAATATTTCTGTATTATTGGTTTGGTATTTCTTAAAAAGTATCTTTATTTAGCCTTTCTTTTGAATATCCCTAAATATTATTATTAGATACACTATTATAAATAAAATTTGGATTATAATAATTTTTAACATTAATAGTAATATTATAGTTGTTTTAAAAGAATATTGATATTTTACTTACTGTATCTCTATTAGAGGCTAATACAGCTTATGTTATGGTATAAAAGACTTGATTTTCTCTTGAATTATTAATAAGCATTTACTAATTATAAGAATCGATTTAATAATTATTAATTTTATAACTGTTTTTTTTTTATTTTTAATCTTCGAAAATTATTAATAGTAATAAATACTATTATAGTTTATAATATTTTCTTTTAGAATTAAATTTTCTTAAAAAAAAAGGTTTAATATTATATTATTTTTAATCATAAATTATTTTTTATGGAGATAATTATTATTTTACATAATTTATATATATAAAAGATAAATTTTTAAATTGCCTTTCATTTTAAGATACTTATAAAAATGAATAAAAGTTCTCAAACACAAATATTCATCATCTTCAAAAGTCATTTATTTAAGAATATTTCCTAAAATTTTAGAATGAGCATTTAAATATATTGAATTAAAAAAAATATATAAAATCAATTTTTACTATATGTAGTTTTATTTATCATAAGCATGTATTAATTAAATTAAATTCTTCTAAATTACAAGTTTTTAAAAAATCATTCCATAAAAACATAATTTTTATTCTTATCTGTCATAAACAAAAATATATTTAAATTCGTTTAAACTTTGCAATATTAAAGGATAATATTTAAGAATATTAAGTTATCCTCCCCCCCCCCCTGTTAATAATTGACTATGATTTGAAAAATTATAGTAAGTTTTTAAATAGATTTCTCATAATAATTTAATTTGCTTATTTTAATTTAGCAGAACATTATAAGGTCTAATATAAATATGAGTAGCATCTTTTATTTTCATCTAAGAAGCCACTATAAATAAATAATTCAAAATATAATAAGATTCAGATTTTATAATGTGTTTCATTAGTTTTCTCATTAAAATTAATTATTTTAAATTATTAAGAATGTAATCATAATTCATATTTTTTTTTTATAAGTACAATGCTTTAATTTCACTAAGTTTTCAAGCTCAAGTTAATTTCAGAATACTAATTTATATATAAGACTTTTAAATAAATATATATCATGTATTTTTTTCCTCCCATGCTTTTTTTTAATTATATTTTAGGTTTTATGGAAATTTAATTATTAAATATAAACATTTTTTATAAATAAAATAAGTGTATTTGATAAAATTTATTTAAAAATAATACATTTTTTAGTATAATAAAATGAAGTAATAACAAAAAGGAAATTTTCGTATTAATATAAAATATATAAATTATAAAAATAGAAATTATATGTATATTTTTATTATTTTTTTATATATAATTTATTATATGGTATAATAATTTAATTTAAGGTAATTTTTTTTTAAAAAAAATATGTTATAATCTTTAATCGTTAAGATTTATAAAATTAATAAAATAATATAACTAAAATAAATATTAATATTAATTAGAATTTTTAATCATTTATTTTTTTAAAAAATTATGTAATTAAACAAAAATTATTATGTTTTTAAATGACATATAAACTATTTTATTATATATTTTTTATTTTTGGAACACTTCAATTCTATACCTATAAAAAAAATAAAATAAAAATATTAAAAATTAAAAAAAAAAAAAAAACCGTATAAACACTCTATTAAAAGTATTATTATGCACTTTCAACGTCATTATTTAGTCCTTATTAGCTATTTTTAAATTTATGAGAATCAGCTAATTAAGCTTATCTTGCATCCATAAGCACTTTTTAAATATAAATGTTTCTTTCTTAATCAGACATTTAAACTAAAATATCGTTACTACTATTATTATTATTATTATAAATATTATTACTATTATAAATATTATTATTATTATTATTATTATTATTATTATTATTATTATTATTATTAATAATAATAACTTTTAATTAATATCTTATTAAGTATTAACACTCTATTAAGATGCATACTATTACTATTACTATTAAATAGACTAATTTTTTTATCTTTTTACAATATCTTAAATATTACTACTTAATTTTGTACTTTATTTTAAAGGTTCTTCTATTATATAATTTTAGACCTCAATATTATTAGTTTATTCATTTAAGAAAGTTCTAGTCTATATTTAACTGGCTTTAGCATCGTCTAAAACTTAGTTTTTATTATAATAACTAGTATATATTACTTGTTGAGAATTAGTAGGTATATTATTATTAGGCGCTATTGTATTATTATAATTTTAAGTACTATTATTGCCATATTTATTTACGGTTTCTTTACTCATAGCCAAAACGGCTTAAATTCTAGCATTCAAATCATCATTTTCATATGAATTTACTTAAACTGGAGGTTATTGAACTTCGTAAGCATAACTTGCAGGCTAAACTTTGTAATTATTTATTGTTCTATTATCTAAATTAGTATTTTCGATAGGTTGATATGTTATATTTTGAGGTTAATTAGTCTAATAGACTATGTTAGGAGTTCCTATAAGTTAATATACTACATTAGGGGTTTCTAAAGGTTTATAATTGTCCACACTAACGTATGTAACTTTATTATCCATAGGAACATAGTTTATTTTCGATTCTAAAGGCTAATAAGTTACATAGCTATCTAAAGGTACTTATTTTGGAGAAACTTAAGGCAACTAGCTTTTCATTTAGGGAGAAATTATTTATTTAATTTCTACAGTTGATAATGAGTTTGCTATTCTTACGTTTTTTGTTACACTTAAAACATCTTCGAAAGTGCTTCTTTACATTTCGTTTTCTAATAACATTTTTTCTAATGTATCAGCTAATAGACTAGAATGTTGATTTTTTACTTATTGCAATAATAGACGGATTCGTTCATTTTTTACAATAAAGTTTTCCCTATCATAACATGTGTTACTTACATTTTCTAAAGTGGCAGCTTCTAGAAGAGTCATTCCTATTTAAAAAACTTCATTTTTTGATCTATCATAGAGAGGGATATCCTTAAATTCTTTTAATCCGTTCATTAATTAAGGAGAAACGTAATAATCTTGGGTCATTCCGGATAATAATTGAGTATATGAGGAAAATGGTTGTGTATTTAGGTATACTTCACCTAATTTTATTTATCTATTATTATCTAAAAGGACGTTAAAGGGTCTTATGTCGCTATGTGTCGCATCTTTGGATTTTAAATAAGAAGCTACACTTATTAAGGAATTTAGAATATACCATAATTCAGATTCTTAGTAATGTAAATTGAATTATTTTCTTTCAGAAAGTTCTTGCTTTAGATCATTGGAAAAATATTCATATAATACACCTAATTTGAAAAATGTAGAACAAAATTCGTCTTTTTTTTCAGAATTGAAATTTATTAATTTTACTAAATTTTCATGATCAAGTTGTTAACGGAATTTCAATTCATTTACACGACTTGCCCATTATTATTCATCATTTAAGGTTTTGGTCATTTCGGCATATGTTTAAGATGTCAAATTATTTTTAATAATATTTATATTACCATATCGGTTGTCGTTTAAAGTGTTCATTTTTGTATTTGTTTTAGGATCATATAAGTTACGTTTATATGTAGTTGCATTTTCGTTTCCCATTTTTTATTTTATTTTTAGGTTTTTTTCTTAATAATTTAATTTAATTTTTTTTCTTTTTTTTTTTTTGATTTTTTTTTGATTTTTTTTTTTGATTTTAATCATATAAATTTTCATTATTTGCTTTTATTTTATTTTAAATATTTTTATATTTTTGATTTAAATATAGTAAATTTCTTCCATAAAATGTGAAATAAAAAAAATAAAAATGATCTTCTAATTTTATAATTAATAAATTGATTTTAATTGATAAATTTATAAAAAAAATTTGAAATTTTATTTAAAAAATAATAATTAACTTTAAATATAACAGTATTTATTATGATTTAAATTTATAGAAAAATTAATATAGAAATTTATAATAATAAAAAAATATATATATATATTTTGTATTTGTATGAAGGAATAAAATAATTTATAATATAATTAAACATATTTTAAAAATAAATATTAATTAAATAAAAAAAAAAATATAATTATTTAAAATATTTTATTGTTTAATGATTATTCTTTCTTTTGTATATATTTGTTTTAAATATTTATAATTAAAAACTTATTAAATTTTATTTTTAAAATTTATTAAGGATTTTAATGTTTTATTATTAGTAATTTTTCAAACTTTTTAATTAAAATTTAAAATAATTATATTAATAGTTAATTAAAAAAACAGTTTAATTGAAAATACTAATATAATATATAAAATAACTTGAAATATAAATAAATAATAAATTATAATACATAAAATAAATTATATTATTTTTTTATTTTTTAAAAAAGATTATTTATCGTAAAAGTATATACAAATATTTGAATTTGAATTGTAAATTTTTATAATAATTACAATTTAAGATTATAAAATATTATTTATTTAAAAAAGATTACAAAAAAATAAAATATATTAAATATTCAATTATTATAAATATATATAATATAAAATAATATATTTTAAAAGTAAAAAAAATAAAAATATTAAAAATAAATAATTAAATAATATAATAATAACAAAAACTATTAAAAAATTATAAAAAATAAAATAAAAAAATGTTACTTACTTAATATTTTTAAATAATTATAAGAAAAATATATATTGAATTTATTAAATAAAATATTATAAATTTATTTAAATTAAAAATTAATTAAACAAAATCAATATAAAAATTTAAAAAATATTTAAAATTATTATTAAAATAATAATAAATAAATATATTATTAAATAATTTAATAAATTTATATATATACATAAATATTAATAAATACAATATATATATTATATGTTTTTTTAATAAAATTTTAATTTTTAATAAATAAAACAACTATAAAAATAAAAAATGTAGATAAAATTAAAAAATAGTACAAGGCATAATTTTTATAATTTTTTATAATATGGTTCTGATTATAAACCATTTTAAGGATTGTTAAATAATAATATTCATCTATAAAAATGTTAATAATCTCCAACATAAAATTAACAATAAAACCTTTTTAAACCATTTATATTAGAACGAAATTATTTAGGAAATTTGATTACATAAAGAGATTCTAAAAAAATTCGTTAAAAATCTGAGATATTATTTGATTTAGATTATATTTAAAATAAAAAATCTTGTCATAAATAAAGTCCTAAAGATTTAGTAAAAGTTAAAATAGATAACACCGTGTCTTCTTCTCCTAGATGTTAAATAGTAGAAAAAAATGGGAATTATTTTTTTGAAAAGGGAGGTATATTTAAAATAGAAAACAAAACAGTAAGGAATAACCATAGTATATTAAAAAACAAAGAGGAAATAAATCCTATAAAATAAAGTGTATTAAAAAAATAAGAAAGTTTTTTAAACATATAAACAAATGAATGTCTGACTTAAAATAGTTAAAATAATTATTAATCTAATAATAGTGCATAGAAAAATAATAGTACATAATACTATTTTTAATTAGCAAGTAAAAAGTCTGATTAGAAAAATTTACTCTCTTAAATTTCATTTCAAAAATTATTTGACGAAAAGGATAAAGGTAAAAGTGAAAATAAATAAAAAATAGATTTAAACACTTAATTTATTGTAAAAGTTCCTGTTTATAATAATGGATAATAAAATAAATTAAATTTTAATAAGTCTTAATATAAAATTAATCTTTAATAAATTATTCTTGCCAAAATGAACATTTGTTAAGGACATAAAAAAGCTAAAAGTTAAAAAGCTAAAAGCTAAAAAGCTCTAATTTAAAATAGAAATCATTACTCTAAAGCTTTTCCCAATATTTTTACTTATAATAAAAACTATAATCAAATTTAAAAACATTCTCCTTGTGCTAATTTAACTTAAACTAATAAAAGACTGTTTTATCCCAGTAAAAGTTTGGTTTTTAGTGGTTAATAATGGATAGATGAGCCTAAAAATAATCAATTTTAATAAAAGAAAAATAAAGAAGTAGGATTTGAATAAATGATTTATTAAATTGAATAAAATATGAAAAGTATTTTATTTTTTTCATTATTTTTGTATAACTTTTTTTTTTAGAACAAGTAAATTTAGAAATATCTGAAAGTAAAGGCAAACTTCTTCACCCTGAAGAAAACAATTAACTATAATATCATATTGAATTTAATGAAATATAAAAAGATTCTAATTTATTTAAAAAAAGTATTAATTAATGAAATTAATATTTAAAAAAGATTATTGAAATAAAATAATAATATTTTCAAAACATATTTATAGTTAAAATAATAAATATTATATAAAATTCTAATATAATTTATTTTTATATATATGTAATATGTATATTCAATAAATCAATTTTTAATAATATTTTAAGATTAATTATATAAATAAATTTTAACTTTATTAATATTTTTTTTATTAATAAAGTATCATATTCTAGTACTTTTTAATTTGTTTATATTATTTTAATATATTATTCAGTGTAAATAAATATTTTTATTTGTTTTATTTATTTTCTAAATAATAGTAATATGAATAATTATATATTGATATAAATTTATAGAAATAAAAATATATTTATAAATAATAATCATTTGTATAAAATTGAAATCTATAGTATAGGCAACTTTAAAATATTTATAACATTAATATTTTAGTTAAAATAAAATTATATGTATATTGTTTTCTAAAAAAAGAAGTAAATATTATATAATAAAATTATATTTAATTGTAATTTTGTAAATATTTTGATTTATATTTAAGTATCAAATATTAAATTTTCTTAGCAGAATAAAATAATAAGTCTTTTTTTTATTAAAAAAATACAGAATTTTTTTTACTTCGAATTTATTTTAATATAAATTAAAAATTTATGTTAAAGTTCGAAGTAGAATATAAAATAAAAATAAGCTAATTTAGATGTTATAACTTAATATTACAAATAAAATTTAAAAAGATAGTTTTTTAATATTTATTACGATAATAATTATAAATATCTAAATAATGACTATATAAAATATTACAATTATGTAAATTCTAAAAGTGTAGTAAAAATATAATTTAAATTTATTTAAAATTAAATAAAAGATTTATAATTAAATGATTTAGAATCAATGAAAATAAGGACAGAATAATTAGAAATAGATATGTGATTTTAGAATAAATAAAAATAATTGATTAAGCTATATTAAAAAAAATATATCTAATTAGAATTTAAAGATAAAAATTATATTTATAAAAAATAACTTAATAATAATATTTATTTATCTAAAAAAAATATACATATATTCAAGATCAAAGAAACTATATATAATTATAAGTCCTAAAACTAAAATTATGATGATAATATTTATATTTAATTTATGAATTCATTAAATAATAAATATTTTGGAAAATTTAAAAAAAAAACTATAAAATTAAAAATAAAATCAATAAAAAGTTTTATATATTAACATATAAAATTGAAAATAAAAATAAATTAAAATATTTAAATTATAATATATTTCATTGATTAACTATTTTTTAAATAGACTTTTTTATTTAAATGATTTTAAAATACTTATATTTATAAAATAATTTTTAGTTTAAAAAATAAATTAATAAGAGTTATATTTTATCAAATAAGGTATTTTAATATTAAATATTTAATTATAACTTTTAATTCTAATAAAATATTATATATATATATATATATATATTTATATATATATATATATATATATATATATATAATTATAATTAATTTTTTTTTATATTTAGATATATTTCTGTGTATTTATACATTTTTGTTTATCTATATATATTTTTTAAATTGTTAATATTATTATATATAACATTAAAATATATTTAATGAAACTTTATTTTTTTAATAATAAAAGTTTATTTATAATATTATTTAAATTTTATTTTTTATTTTTCATTTCTTATATTATATGTAATATTTTATTTATTAAAAAATTAGCCATAAATTATTTTTATATCTGATTTTTATATTTATTTAATGATAATAAATATTATTAATTTATTAGTTAAATTATTTATATGATATTAATATTTTTTATTTTTTATTATATTTTTTTTCATGTCTTAATATATTTTTTAATAATCAAATTCTTAGTTTATATGCTTATATGTTATAATAATATTTTTTTTAAATAAATTTTTTTTATATATAGATATTATTAACTGTTTGTTTTATAAACACAAATATATTTAAAAAAAAATTTAAATTAAAAATATTAAATATATAAATAAGAAAAATATAAAAAATATATTTATAGATAAAAAAATAATTAATAATAATTTTACTTAAAATATAAATGGAAGTAACTTTAGAAAAGTAATATATTTTTAATCAATTAATAAATCATTTTTATATTATATTATTAAAAATAAATAAAAGTTTTGTGGGAGAAATAAAACGAAAATTAGATTAAGAATATACTTCAGGTGTATTTGCTTAATAAGCTTTGATTAAAATTTTTAAATTTTTTGATTTGTCGAATAGTGGTTTTCTATGTAAAAATTAATTTTTTAGAGGTTTAGCTAAGCTGGGAGTTGTTCCTCAAATTTAAGTACCTTATTTTATATAATTAATAATAATTTTTTATATTTAATTTCACATTTATATTATTTAAAAAAAAAAGGATACAGACAAAATATTTGCATGCTTTGATAAAAATGAAACCGAAAAAATTGACTATAAAGAATTTGTTTAAAATATTATGCAAATAAGCGATTTTTCAAATATAATTCCTGATAAAATATCAAAGTAATATTTTTTTATTAAAATTTTTAAATATAAAAAAAGTTGCAAAAAATAAGAAAATATTGGATATTAAAAAAATAAACTTCCTAAAAATTATTAATAAGTGTAAATGAAAAACATATAAATTGTTTTAATATTAATTTTTTTCTATTTAAAGCTGTTAATAGTTTTGTTAAAAAGTATAATAAATATTAAAATAAAGAGGATTAGCAAGTTTATTAGGATTAGGAATTATGTTCAAAGTAATTATATTTTAAATATTTTTATAAAAAATAAATAAATAAATAGAGTATGACTTTAAATGGAAAAAAGTAAATAAATTAAGATCAATTCGAAAACGCTATAAGAGAATATAAAATATATGAAGAAGCTGATGTACTTAATCAAGTATTTTAATTTTTTGATAAGCATGATAATGGTTTAATTAATTATGAGGACTTCTTAAATTATATTAAGGTAAAAAATAAAATAAAGATTTTTTAAAAATAATAAAAAGATGCCATATAATAATTATAGAACAAGCTTAGTTACTCAAATATTTAATTAATTAGACAGGGCAAATGTAGGTGTAATTAATAATTATTTGATAAAATCAAGTTTTAACCCTTAAGCCCATCCAGATGTACTTTAGAATAAGAAATCTTAGGAAGATGTAAATTTAGAATTTAGAAGTTGCTTTGAAAGTTATTTAGATTATAGAGTAAAAAAAAAAAAGATTATATTATACTAATAAAAAACAAAAATCAAGGATATTTTAGATGATAAAATGACTATGGAAGATTTTTTAGATTTCTATTCTTTTTAAATTCATCATTGGTTAAAAGATGAAGATTTTAAAAACTATATTATTTCTGTTTGGAGATAAGACTCTTATTAAAAAAGCGTTTGTAAATAATAATAATAATAATAATAATATTAGTAATAGTAATTTTCGCCTGCGTTTTAAAATAATTCACCTGCTAGGAAATCTCTTTTATAATTAAATAACACCGAGAATTAAAGTATTTAATCATAAAAAAGATAAATGTAAAATTAAGAACAATAATTAAATAAAGAAGCGTTATCTTAATTATCAAAATAATAATACAGCAGAAATTCAAAATATAAAAATAACGAAGATACTATTAGTATAGCATCTTAAGCTAGTTAAGCTACAAATAGCAAATATATGAGAGATAATAATGTTTCTGAAAGATAACTAGAACTTATTCTAATCAGAATTAAAAATAGATTAGCAAGCAGAGGAGCTAAAGGATTCTTATAGATGGAAAGGATATTCAAAGTTTTTCTTAAAAATTATTTTATTTTTAAATATTTAAAATAAAAAAAATAGATTGCTGATACAGATGACGATGGAAGAGTTAATTTGAATGAATTTAAAAAATGTATAAGAGATTCTAGAATAGATGTAACTGATTCAGAAATCAATATTTCTTTTAATTTGTTTGATCCTGAAGAAAGTGGAACTATTAACTTCTTTGACTTTTTAAATACATTGAAAGGATAAATGAATGAATTCAGATTTAATATTGTAGACAGTATTTTCGCAAAAATCGATTATAATAATACTGGAATTGTCACAATTTAAGATATTCAAAGATAATTTAATGCAAGAGCACATCCTGATGTAAAAACTACTAAAAAGCATGAAGATGAGGTTTATTAAGACTTTTTTGCGAATTTAGAGCTACATAATAAACTTTATGTATTTTTTTTTTTATTTTTTTTTATAAATTTAAAATAAAAGAGTGGAGTTGTTAATTAAGAAATTTCAAAAGAACAATTTTTTGATTATTTCAATAATTATAGTGCTTCTATTTAAGATGATTAGTTTTTTGAAACTATTCTAGTTAACACTTTTAAATTATCTTAATAAAATTAACTTACTAGTAAATATGCAGGTATTTTATTAATTATTTTTTAATTTCTATATGCTCATATTTTTAGGTCATAGAAATATGTTCGATCCTCTTAAAAAAGGATTTCTTTAAGATCATCATAGATATCTTATTAACGGAGGTTCTGTAAGTTCTAATGCGCCTTATGGTACATTTTAAGAACCTACTGATTATGCTACTTAATAAAGACCTTATAGCACTTAAAGCAGATAATCCCCTGTAAGATAAAAGAGTCAATAATAATATTAAAATAGTTCTAATGCGTATTTGTTTTTATTAGTATTTTATTTTAATTATATTTATTGTTTAAAATAAGATTATCTGAATGTTAAGACGAAATTGATCCTTTAGAAGAATTAAAAAAGAAACTTAATTAAAGAGGAATAAGAGGATATTTAAAATTATATAGCAAATTAAAAAGTGCTTATAATTAAAAGAAAATAAGTTCTAGTGTTTTCGCATAGTGTTTGTAAGAATAAAGAATTTAATGTAATGAATGCGAATTTATATTTTAAAAATACTCGAATTAATAAGGTTTCGATTTAGACTCCTTTTTTAAAGACCTTAAAGGAAAAATAAAAGAATAAAGATAAGCATTAATAGTTTATGCTTTCTAAATAATGGATAATAATAGATGCGGTGAAGTTTAATTAGATGATGTTTTATGTATTTATATAAATTTGATATTTTTTTATGTTTTTTTATTTAGAAAATTATAACTGTTAAGAACACCCCTATGTTAAAATCGGAAAACTTACTGAAGATGAAGTCTTAGTAGATTTTTAAGATTCTTTTGAATCACATTTGACTATTTTTGTAAACTATAAATTGTTATATATTTATTTTTTAATTAATTTTTAATAATGAAATAGAATTAAAGTAATTTGAATAAAGGAAAAGTTCATTTTAATGAATTCTTTGAATTCTATCACATTATTAGCGCTACAATTGATGATGATTAGTTTTTCGAGGACATGATGGTCAATTGTTGGAATATATAATTATGAAAATCAATATAAATGAAAAAAAATTCTTAAAATTAATATTTTTTGAAAATTTAATTAATCTTATTTTATAAATAAATAAAATTTTTAATTCATACTATTTATAGATATACTATAAAAAAAAAAAATCAAAGTCATGTCGTCTCAATATTTTATAAAAATTTTATTTGTATATTATTTTTAATTATTTAACAATTTTCTATTTTAGTTTATTTTTCTTCATTTTATATTTAATGCACATTAAAAATTTTATCTGAAGATTAAAATTATTTTTATAATTAATTATTTTCTTATTCAAATCTATTTATAAATAAATATTATTATAAACAAATAAAAATTATTAAAATAACTTTTGATTGAATGAAAAACTTTTAAAAACGAAAAGATCATTATATGATGAAGGAGAGTCAATTAGAACTTATTATAAAGTTTATCTATTGAAAATTTTTAAATCTTATTAATTTTATAAATTTAATTAATGGGGACTTTTTAACTTTAGTTATCTCATTTTTTCCCAATCGATGTCTTGAAAAAATGGTTAACTTAAAACATTAGAAGTACCTTAAGGTCCATAACCTAATCTTTTATATGGCTAAATATAAAAATAAAAAAATCATGTAAATAAATGTAGAAAATAAATATAATTTTACATTTACAACTAAAAGCTATCTTAAAAATAATTAGGCATCTTTAGAAATATAGTTAGGCATTGGAATATCTTTCTTTAAAATTTTAAATTAAAATTATTGAAAAATAGAAAATTTATTTATATCTATATATTCTTTATTTAGTTAAAAAAAAATATGTATCATATACATAATTATTAATAATAGATAAATTATATATATATACTATTTAACGAAAAATAAAAATATAGTTTTTACAATAAAATAAATAAATATTAAACTTTACTGTTATTATATCATTAAACATTTTTTTTTTATTTCCTGAATAAAAAGGTGGTGTTCCAGTTAACATTTCATATACTAAAGCTCCATAACTCCACCAATCAACAGCTTTATTGTGTCCTTATTCTTTTTTTTTATCAAAGTTTGATAATTCATTTTTTAAAATAATAAATTTATTTATTACTCAATATAATCTCTGGTGCTAAATATTCAGGAGTACCACAAATACTATATCCAGGCATTTGATCTTTTTTTTTTTTTTAAATAAAAAAATTAATATATATAACCAGTAACATCTGTTTTGGAAAGTCCAAAATCAGCCAATTTAACATTTCCATTTTAATCCAATAAAACATTTTCAGATTTTAAATCACGATATATAATATTATTACTGTGCAAATGCTCTAATCCTAATGCTATTTAGGCTGCATAAAATTTTGTTGTTCTTTCTGTAAATTTGCCGTGCTTTTTTAAATGATAAAAAAGATCACCACCATTCATAAAATCGACAACTAAATATAATTTCGATTGTGATTAAAATGCATATCTTAATTTTACTATAAATTAATTTTCTATTTTTTCTAGTATTTATATTTCGGCCATTTATATGTCGAAAATGTCTTTCATTTTTTATTATATTTTTCTTTATTATTTTCATAGCATATAGCTTTTCTATTTTTTGATTTTTATTATTACATTTTTTTTTTTTACATTCATTTATATTATTCACTAAAATTACTTTACCATACGAACCTTATCCTAGTATCTTTTTATATAATTTTTAATTTTGATTTTTTGCTTGTTATTTGTTTTTACCTTTATTAATTAAAAATCTTAGATATCTACTTTTTTTTATTAAAAAGTTAAACTTAAATCTTTATCTTTTTCAGCTAAATTCTAATTTTAAATGAAAGATTATTAAAATATTTCGTCTTTTTATAAACAAATGTTTCCCATTTTTTATATTTAATTTTTTTTTAATTTAATGTGTTTTTTGCAATGCATAAAATAAAATTTGATTTTTTTAATTATACATAATTATATTTTAAACTATAAATGTAAATTAATTACTGAATTAATTTACTAAAGTTTTTATTACTATGGAAAAAAATTATTAATAAAGATTTAATAAATAAGTCATATAATATATTTCGTAATAAATTATTTTTATTTAAATTTTAATAGAAAATTTATTTTAAATCAATATTTAATATAAATTATATTTATAAATATAAATAAAAACTATAATACATACTAAAGTTTTTAATAGTAATATATTTAAAATAATTAGATAATAGAGATAAATTTTAATAATTTTATATAAAATGAAAAAATGAGTTTAGATTATTGTAAAATATAGAGTAAAATAAATCTCCTATTTATAAACCTTTAATTTTTATTAATTTTAGTTCCTATTAGTTTTTCATATATCTTTTGAAAAAAGTTACTTATTTTATTATGAGGGAAGAGTTTCAATATTTTATTTTATTTAAAATAAATATTTATGGATCTTTTATTTTTTATTTATAAAGAGATATTTATTAATATATATTAGACAATATTATAAAATAATTATTATATTTATTAAAATTTAATACAGATATTTGTTATTTTTTCTCTTTTCTAAAATATCAAAATTATTTAAATTATTATTTGATATAAAAATATATATTTTTATAAAAAGTGTTATTTATGTTTAATATTTATAATAGTTCAAAAAACATAGTATTAAAAACTATCGATGTTTTTATTATATTATAGTTGAAATTCTAAGTAAAAAAAAACATTTAAAAAATTATTTAGAAAAAGCAAAAAATTTATTATATTAATAAAGTAATATTATTTTTTATAATATATATCAAAATAAAATTATTGAAATACATCAATCAATAAATTATTTATTTTTTAAATGAAATTTTAATAATATAAATATTTAAATTATATTTAATTTTATTTTATTTTGATAAAAATGTATTTTAATTTTTGTTTAATTGATTAATTTTGTTACTTAATTTATTATTTTTCAATTTTCTTAACTATTATAATCATCATATTAATTCTATATTTTCTAAGAGTTTATATCATTGTTTTTCTTTGATTTTTCTTCAATAATTGAAATTCCATTGGCTTTCAAATAATTTTTAATTTTTTCATTTTCAGTAAGATTTTGTTATTTTCTATTTTTATTTCTTTATTCTTTTAATTTTGTTTTTAAAATTTAAATAAATAAAATATATTTTTTTAATAATATAACATTTTTTTTAATTTTCTGTAGTAATTTTAATTTAATTAATATTTTCTAGTTTATCAGTTTCTTAAAATAGAAAATCGTTTTCTTCAAAATCATATTTATTAGATTCAGAAAATTATTTGATTAAAATATTGTTATTATTTTTATTATTTTTTTTATTTAAATTATTAGTAATGTCAACAAAAAAGTTCTAATTTTTTTTCTAAAGTACATTATTAATAATATTACAACTCATACTATCTTATTTTTTAATTAATAAAACATCTTTTTCACAATTACTAGTCTAACAATACTTATAATATTACTCGTATATATTCTATAATAAATCTTCTACAAATTAACAAGCAATAGAAAATACTTCTTATTGTTTAGAACTTACACATAAATGTAAAGGCTCTTATGATTCTTTTTTTTCAAAAATAATATTTTGCTCCATATAAAAAAATTAAAGTTACCTTATTTATTTGGTCCTTCTTTATATCCAGAACCTATTCCTCTTAATCTTAGTTTAACTATGTTCGTTTAATCATCTTTTTCATTAATATAGCCTTTTTAGTTGCTTGCGTCTATGCATTTTTTAATTATAGATTTCATATTCTCTCCTTTGGATCCTATAATTTTTCTGGCTATTTAGAAGTCTTTATCATTTTAAATTTAAATTTCGTACCTGCATGTATATTTTAAATTATTTCCTTAATTTTCTTAACTTTCTTTAGCTTTTGGAAACTCTTGTATTGATGGATAAAAAGGAATGGTATTATTATTCATTTGTTTTTGTGTAAACTTCTTTTCGTACCATTCTAATTTTATTCGTAAATTTAATGAAGATATTTCAAATCCATCTAAAGAGTTTAAAGCAAAAAATGCACTTATTAAATCTTCGAAAATTATCAAAGCTTTCTAATGCGTTTATATATGCACATTTACATTTCCGAATCTTTCAAAAACCTTTTTTTGTTTTTTTAATTTTTTTAATTTTTCTTTTTTTTCAAATATCTAATTTTTACTCCTATTATATCCTCCTTTTCTATTTCATATTCTGATTTATCTTCTGATATTTAAATTAGTATAAACTATAATTTCGGCTATATTTTTTAATTTTTATGTTAGAAAGTTTTTTTTTATTTTTTTACTTCTTGATTTTCAAATTTGGATATTATTTTAGTTCTATTTTATTTATTTTACATTAATTAAAGTAAATGTAAGCCGTTCGTAAGTTTTTTAGGTTATTATTTTGAATTTTAATTTAATTAAGATGTTTGAAAAGAAGGGAAATCATCTGAGGACTATTATTTTTAGATTTTTTTTAGTTTTTTTTAAAAAATGTTTTTATTTTTTTTATTTTTATATATATATATTAAATATTATATTTTTATTTTTTTTAAGGTTTTTGCTAATTATTTGGTTTGTTAATATAGTTAATATTATGAACAGTTTTATTTATTTTTTGATTTTTTGATTTATTTACAAATTCGTTTTTAGGAGAGTTTTGATAAACTTCGTTTAAATATTAATTGTATTGTTATTCGTTAGAAAATTAATTCATATTTTTTTTTTTTTTTAATTATTTATTATTTTTATTTATATTTTTTATTTTTTGAATTTTGGTTTGTGTTTTTTTTTTTAAATATATGTTTTAACTCATAATATATTTTATGATTATATTTAAAAAATATTATAAAACTTATTTTTTTTGAATTTAAATCAATTAAATAAATAAAACTTAATATTTACAATACATGATATATAAAAAACCATTAAATTTTATTTTTTAATATAATCAATCTATTATAATAAAATAAAATAATAATTAAATATAAAAAATAATTAATATATAAAAAATATATAAATTGAATTAAATTTTTTAAAAAATTTATATATAATTATAAAAAATAATATATATATATATTATTTTAATATATATTTATATATATATATATATATATATATATATTTTTATTATTATATATATTAATATATATCTTTATTTATTTAATTTTTTTAAATTACTTAATGTTAGTATATATTTTTTTTTTTTATAATAATAAATCCTATTTCGATATAATAAATTATATAAATTATAAAATGAAAGAAAAAAAATGTTTAAATAATAATTATTCTTAATAAATACTTTTTAATATTTAATAATAAAACCGCATATAAATATAATTTGATTAATTATTTATTTCCTATAATATATCTAAACATAATTTAAATAAATTAATATTACTTAAACTAGATTAATTTTTTAAATAATAACCTACATATGTTTAAATCGATAATTTATTTTAAAATATGGAATGTAATTTTTAAAAATTTAGCATCTCCTTTAAAATTTATATTAAATCTTAAAAAATCTTAAAAAAAATATTTATAATTTCGAATCTAAAAATGAATTTTTAGATAAAATAAATAATATTTTAATATAGTATATATAAAAAAATAAAAATGATAGAAATGATGGATATTCCAAAAAAGAACAAAGATTAAATAAAAAAATTTTGTTTTTTTTAAGAGAATTTAATGATTAAAATTTAATAATAAAATTAGAAAATACACAAAATTAATAGATTATTCATTTTTTATTATAAATTATTATTAAATCACGGCTAAATTTATTAAACTCAGCAGAAAACATTATAATTAATAAATTTTTTTAAGAATATTTAATTGATTTTAGGAAAAAAAATTAATATTCTTTAAAAATGTCTATATATATTGGTCTTATATTTTCTAAAAAACGCATTGAAGAAGAAATAATGCCCAAAATATTAAATTTAATTAAACGTACAGTTGAAAATGTTTAAATTTTGGTAGAATTTTTGTAAAATATAAACAATTTTTCTCTTGACTTTTCCTGTTTTGCCTCAGAAATAATCCTTAAGCATTTAAAAGACTATATTTTAGGTTTAGATGATGTTTTTTTGTCCACTTAATGTAGTTTAGGAGGAAGTTTATTATGTAAATTTATTAAGAAACGAGAGATTTTAGAAGAAATAATTTTTGGAATAGATAGAATAGTCGAAAATACTAATGATAATGAAAAAAAGATGAGGTTTTTGAAAATTTTAGAGGGATTTTTTGAAAGAAATGACAAAAACGATTTTTTTTAAATTATATATGGAATTCTTATAAAAAATATTAATATGGTTTAAAATAAATAAATTCTGGATGATTTTGAGTGTATTTTGCAAAAAATGGAAAAAAAAGAAGAATTTATTGATAAAAAAAAAGCAGGACATTTTAATGAGAAATAATATGAAATTTTTAAGGAAGAATAAGAAGAGTTTTTTGAGGAAAATTGGATTGTTTAAGTTAAAAAAAGATTAAATATTTAAAATTAAAATAAGTTTTTTTAGCTTGCTGTCTGTATGTCTGGAAGATTTTGGTTAAGAAAAGGAAAAAATTAATTTTCGGATATTATTAGTGGATAAATATTTAATAATTGCGTGAAAAATTTGGCTAAATTAGTGACTTTGGCGGATGTTTACTTAGCGGGGTTAAGTTGTGAGATTTTATAAGAAAAAAAGTGGGAATAATGGTTTTTTTTGGATGGGATTTATGTAAATAAAAGAGAGTTTTTAGAAACTATGAATGAGCTTGAAAATTAGTTATTTTTGGATGTTTTAGAAAATATCCTTTTGGTGAAAAAAGAACTTTTAGATGAGGAAATTTTTGTTTTAAGTAATGGATTTTTACATGGGTTCTTACATAGTGACGTTGGATTTGGAAAAATTCGGAGTTTTTTGTAAAAAACACAATTGAAAGATTATTAATTTAAAAATATATTTTGTGTTTTGAGTTTAAGCTGTTTTTGGAGTTTGTATTTGGTTTGGGAAGAGAAAAAAAATTAGTTAAAAAAAGAAAAAATGCTAATTTGTATGGATTTTTTGATTTATGGATGGGAAAAAATGTGTGCTTTGGAAAAAAATGATTTTTTAGGAATAGTTTTGTGGAGTTTTGGACATGGGATTTTTTCGTAAAAATAAAGGGATAAATGGATGGGGGTTTTAGTAATAAATAAAGGAAAAATTTAAGATGTTTTAAAGTTAAAATGGTGGGGAAAATGCGAATTTTTAATAGGAAAAAAAATGCTTTTGAAAATTAATAATGAGGTTTGGAGAAAAAATGTTGGATATTTTTTCTCTTTTTTAGCATTTTTGGAATTCTATGAAGTTTTAGATGTTTTTGGTGAGTTTTTTGAATATTTAAATGTTGAAAAAATCGAAAGTTAAATAGATTTGACTAGTAAGGAATTCGAAGAATTGTATTTGAGAAAAATGAAGGCTTTTTTAGAAAAAGTGGGTGTTTTTAAAGAATAAAATATAAAAAAAGAAGAAGAAAAAAAACATATTTTCGAAGTTTTTTGGGAAAAAGAAGGTGGCTTTATTAGAATTTTGGAAAAAAATAAAGAATAAAAGAAGGGATTTTTAGATGATGAGGAACTATAGTTAAGAAAAAAAGAAGAGTTTTTGGAAAAGTTGAAGTTTTATTTTGATTTAGGATGTGTTGTTTTTTAAAGTTTTTCTAATAAAATTGGTTTTGTAAAAGTTTTTTTTGAAAAATTTAATGGGAAAATTATTTAATTACTTAAATGGAAAGAAACTCATTTTTTTTATGAGAATATAATGGGAAAAATATGGGAAAATTTCTGGAATTTGTAAAAAGAAGGTGTTTTTTAAACTAATAGAAATTTCATTATTATGTTTTTTTTGGATTTATTTTATTAGGGATTTTGTGAATAATTAGAGTTTATTTAAGAATATGAAAAAATTTTGAATTTCATTAATTCAAATGAATAAGATTTTTGGGTTTTGGAATTCTTTCATTAAATAAATTTGAGGATTTTAAAAGGGGATAATTAACATATGAATGAGTGTAGAAGGAAAGCTTTGATTTTTTATTTTTAAAAAGAAAAGTGTTAGAAGTTTTTGGAAGATGTTAGTATCGTTTTGGAACAAAATATTAATATTTTGGCTTTGAATGAAGATTAGTTTGGAAATTTAATGGAAAAAATAGGATAACAAGGTGTTTAAATGAAAGGATTTCTGAAAAAAGTACTGAATTTGGAAGAAAAAGGATAAAAATGCGTACTTAGAGGAATTTCAAAATATAAAAATGCATTTAATTTGGAGTTTGAGGAAATTATAAAACTGAAAATTTTATAAAAGAAGTGCAGAAAAGAGGAAAATATGGAAATTAATATGGAAAAGTTAAAAAAATGGAATGGTTTTGGATAATTTTTGATAGAAAATAATATTGATAATATAAATATTTTAACTGATTTATTAATTGAAAATAGCAAAAATAATATAGAATATTAAAAAATAATTTATAAGAAATATTTAGAAGGAATTATTAATTTCAAAAATAACGAAAAGAAAGAACTTTTTTTTATTTATTATATTAAGAATAATTTAAATAATATTAATTTAAATTCTGAATAAATAAAAGATATTTTAAATATTTTAATGGAAAGATTTTATTTTAGTGAAGTTTTAGATGAATGTATTAATTGTGGAATGTAAATTATTAAGAAATATGCATAAAATTAAGGAAATCAAATAGTTTTAGTGCTCGAAAAATATCTAAAAATGAAAGATTAGTCGGAAAAATAGGCATTTTTGGTTTGTTTTTTTCTAGGATTATGTGCTCCTTTTGTAAAAAATAAAGTCTATATGGAAAATTTATCAATTAAGATAATTGAGTTTTTTAATAATGTGGAGTTTACGGTTTAAAAAAATATTGCCAAAAAAACACTGCCAGATATTATAAATTTATTTGAAAATACTCAGTATTTAATAAAAGACAGTTTTTAGAATGTTTTAAAAGATAATTAAATAGTAAAAAAACTTTCTTTAAGTTATTTTTTATCTGGATTGATAAAAGGATAAGGAATTTTAGAATTTTAGAAAGCACAAATATTAGAAAAAATATCAGTTTTGGAATAAAATGAAGGATTTTGTAAAAAATCAGTCGTTATTTTATTATTAGGGCTTTAAGATGTGCTTGGTAAACTATTAGATCCTTATAATATATAAATTTTAGAAATTTTAAGCGGATTTTTTGGGGAAAATAATGAGTTTTTGTAAGAAAAAATACAGGAAAATATCGATTTTTTAATAGAAAATTCAAGCTCTTTTGTTATTATGAAAATCGTATTTTTTTTAATCGAAAATTTTGAAAAGGAAACTGCTTGGAAAGCCAAAAATGTATTTATTTATTGTTTTAGGATGGTTATTATTAAAAAATAGAGACTAATATAGAAAACTATACCTTTAATATTTCCTTTATTTTCTAAAACTATACTAGAAGAAACACATCCAAAAGTAAAGGAAAATGCGAATTAGGCAGTTTTTGATACCATCAAATTAAATTAAAATCCATAAATGAAAGCTATAGAAGAGTTATTGCCTTTAGCATTGTAAAATAGATAGGATTTTATTTTTAAAACCATAAAGAGGTTTTCTGAGTAAAGTTTTAGTTATTTTTTAGATAGAGTATCAATTTCATTAATTAAGCCTGTTTTATTTTATGGACTTTTAGGGGAAAATGCAGGCGAAGTATGTGTTTTAGTGGGTAATTTTTACAAAATTGTAAAAGAAAATGACTGGTATATGTTAGAAAATGTTTTAAAAGAAGTTAGAAAAGCAGGCTTTTCAAACAATAATTTAATAAGGGAAAAAGCGATGAAGGCTTTGGCAAAAATTGGGAAGATTTAGGGAAAACAATATGAAAATTTGAAATATTTTAAGGAGTTTTTGATGTAAAATAAACATCTTTCACAATTCGAAAAAATGGGAGTGGCTTAAGGAATTGCCGAAAATTTATTTGGGATGAAAATCGAAGAAATTAGAGAAGAATTGGAAGGACTTATGGAAGTTTTTTAGAAGAAAAATTTAATCAATAAAGATGGAATTGTTTTGGTGTTTTTTTATTTGGAATAAAGCATTTTTTTAGGAGGGTTTAGAGAATATTTCGAGTGGGAATTATTAGAGGATTTTGTAGAATTTATTAAGAATTTTTTAGGGGATGAAGAGGAGAAAGTTAGAGATGTTTCGGCGAAAATAATGAAAGGATTAGTACTTCATTATGGAAAAAAATGTGTTTTTGAATGTATATTAAATGGGATTTTGGAAGAAAATAGCAAAAGAAGAATGGTTTATGTAAATTTAGCGGTTGAAATAGTAGAAATGTGGCATAAATAAGTTAAAGAGGAAGATTATTGTAAAGAAAAAAGAAAATTTTTCTATGATATAGTAGGACTAATATGGATTTTAAGAGATGATATAGAAGATTAAATAAAGAATTTGTGTGATAAAACATGGGAAAGTAAAGAATTCAAAATAAATAAAATTATTTTAGAAGTTTTAATAAATAAATATTCAATAATTTTAAAAAGATAATAGTAAATTAAAAAAAATTAATATAAATATTTATATTAAATAAAAAATAATGATATATTATATAATTTTATAAAAATATTAAATTAGATTTTTTTAATAAAATAATTATTTATATTTAAATTAAATAATATATATATTTATATACATAACTTTATATATTTTTCTTTATAAATTAAATAATTTTATTTATTTTTTATATATTTAGTGCCTCAGCTTTAAAAATTATTTTTTTAAATTCATTGAAGTTTTTTGTTTAGAAATATGGTGAATTTTATTTTAATTTCATATTAGAAATTTGTAAAAAAGGGTATAAAATATATGGTACATTGCATTTTTTAGGAGAATATATTAATTATTTTAATTAAAATTAATTAATATTTGAAAATATGAATAATCTGATTGATATATTTAAATTTTTTATTTTTTAAAAAGATCAAAAAAAAGGTGTTTTATTTTGTCTTAAAATTATTGTAGAAAAATTTGGTGATTTTTCATATAATTTTTTGAATTAAATTTTTTAGTTTGGAAAAGAAAATTAATTTTTCGAAGTATTTTAAGATATTGTTTAGTGTGATTCTTATGTTATTATGGAGTTTATGAAGCCTTTTTTGATAAAATAACCAATTCCGTTGTTAGTTATATAGATCATAGTTAATAATGCTGAAATTTTCGGAAAACATTTTAATGTTTTTTTTTAAAAAAATGGTGTTTTTCAAGCTTTTGTGAATGAACTTTAAAAAGAATAAATAAGCTAGGAAAAAAGAGAGATGATTTTATTTGCAATTAACTTAGTTTCGGTTAATTTAAGTTAAAAAAACGCATAAGATTTACTATAGTTTTGTATTAATATAATTAATGATAGTAAAAATTAAAATTAATTAGAAATTTTTCTAAATATAATAAAATTTTATTTATTAAAATCTCATTTTTCGATAAATATATTAAATAAATAAATTATTGAGATTGTTTGTCCGTTTATTTTTGAAAAAAACCCAAAAATAAATAAAATTTCAAATTAGATTTTAAGTTGTATTTTTGCAATGAAAAATATAGAGTTTTTTTAAGATTATTTATAAATATTTGTTTTAGGATTATAAAATAATTTAGAAAATATGAAAGATTTAAAACTTATATATGGATTTAATAATAATAAGGAAACTGGAGATGGAGATGGAGATGGAGAAGAAATAAAAAATTATATAGAAATGTTAACTATTGTTTTGGTTTATAAAAATAGTTAAATACTAAATTAAGGAATAAGTTTGTTTAAAATTATTATATAATATACAGATATATAAAACCTATAAGTAAATAAATATATTTATATTTTTATTTATATTTATATATATTATATATTTATTATATATTATATTATATATATTTTTAATTTTTATTATTATTTCAATATATTTAAAAAAAAAAAAATCATATATTTTTATATTAGCCATATAATTTTAAATTAATTGGATGCTTAATTAGAGTTTTAATACGAAATTCTAAATTATAAAAATAACAATAAATTGATATATTGTAAATTTTTACTAAACTTTTTATTAAAGGAATCGATATGAAGGCATTTATTCCATAACTTTAGTCTACTTTTTTAAAACTTTGTTATTCTTCTTCTTATGATAAGGAATTTTTAAAACTTTTAAGCTAAAATTTTTGTTAATTGGTTATTTTGGCATTAAGAAAAGATTTCATATTAAATGAATTATATATGAAATGTAAAGAAAGTGAAGAAAAAAGTCCTTTCTTGTATATTATTTGCAGGTTAATTAAATATAATTTTTAAAAGGCGAATAGTAAAATGTTTGCTAAGGCCTTATTGGATAAAATATTTGATTAAACAATAAAAATATAATAAGAAAATTTGGAATTTAATGGAGAAAATATATATAAATGCGCAAGTATTATAGGATTTTGTAGTAATTATGTTGAAGAGTAAAAAGTTGAGTTGTTTTTGAAAGAATAAGTCTATTTTTTGGATAAAAAAGTTTATTTTCGAAATTTTTTGAATGTTTTAATGTTAATTTTTAGAAACAATAATCAATTTTAAATACCAGAAAGATTTGGGGAATATTTTTTAGAGAAAAAAAATTAAATTTAAGGAGAGTTTTAGGAAGTTTGGATGCATTTTTTGTAGAAAGTTTAAAATAAAAATAGTAATTTAGTTGTTTTGTAATTCTTAAAATACCACTAATGCATTTGAATTGTGTTTTTTTTATAATATTTTTAATAAACATATTTATATAATTGTATTTATTTAATTTTTTAATATTTATATAAAATTTATTTATTTTATAAAACGAAAAAAATGATTTATAAAAAATCTATATATGGAAATTAATAACCCTAAAATTAGGTTACTGAAGAAAATGAAGAATATGAAGAAGATAATTAAATAAAAGCTCCTCCCATGTTAAAAATCAATTAATTATAATAAAAAAATCCATTATATTAAAATAACTAATAAGAATATGAAAAAAATAGTGGAGAGAGAGGAGAAGACGAAAAATATGAAAATGAAGATGAAGAAGATAGTGAAGCAGAAGGGGAAGGAGAAGAAGAAGAAGAAGAAGAAGAAGAGGAAGAAGATGAAGAGGAGGAAGAAGAGGAAGAAGAGGAAGAAGATGAAGAAGAGGAAGAAGAAGAGGAAATGGATGAAGAAGAAGAAGACGAAGAAGAAGAATAGGTAGGAGAAAGTGAAGGAGCAATAGAAGAAGAAAATGGAGATGGAGAAGAAGAAAAAGGAGAAAATAATAATGAAGAGAATTAAAAAAGAGAAAATTTCGGGTAAAAAGAAAAAAATGAGATAAATAATAGGAAAAATGTATTAAATTTAGAAAAGAAATATTAATAAGATTATGAAGATGAGAAAAAGTAAAATTTAAAAATATATGAAGTCTAGTATAATGATAAAAAAGAAGAATAAAATGTGTAAAATGAAGTTCGTAAAAGCAAAAAAAAAATTCAAATAATTCATAATTATGATTAAATAAAAAAAGAAAATAAAAATAATTATAATATGAAAATGAGTATTTATGACAAAAATAATTAAATAAATCTAGAAAATGACTAATTTAATAAAGATAATTATATAATTGAAGGAGTATAAATAGAAGATAAATGGTTATAAAAAGCAGATAAGAATAAATATGATTCTTATGTTTTAAATGGAATTTATTTATAGTATTATTTAGATAATGTATAACAATATTATAAAAATAAATATATATATATATATATATATAATATATATATTATTTATATATATATATTATAAAAAATATATATATGTTTATATTAGTATACATATATATTCATTTTTATATATTTATTTAGTCTTTTTAAGATTTAGAATGTTTATAAAAAATTTAGATTTTGAAAAAATAATTTATAACATTAAATTAAAAATTTGATTTTGATTAAGATGATTTTATTATTAATAAATAATATGAAAAATAAAATTTTTTTTATAAAAAAAAAGTTAACTTCATTTCAATTAATATTATTATATTTTTAATATTTTTTATATAGGTAAAGTAATGGGAAAGAATCTGGTTAGAATATGTTCTATCTAAAATGGAATTTTAACTTAAATTTAAAGTATTTTTATAATATATAATAATATTAAATATTTATTAGATGGAAATAAAAATAAGAAAGTTAAACAATTTCTAAAACCACTTTCTATTACTTTTTAAAATTATGTAAATAATTTAATTAAAATAATAAAATAAATAAAAAAAGAATGATGCATTATAATAAAAAGAAACAAAATGGTTAAATGAATCTAATAAATTTATTCTGAGGATAAAATTAGCATTTGAAAAAAGAAGCCCTATTTATGTTTATTTTAAAGATTATAACAATGTTAAAAATAATAATATTTTTTAAATAAATATTATTAAAATATAAATATTATTATATAAAAGGCTTTAAAATTTAAAAATTATTACTTTTTAAATATGATTATATAAAAATTAGATTTTATGAATGAGTTAATTTTAAATTTAGCCAATAAATTTTACAGTCTTATATACAAATAATTTATTTATTCTCTATAAAAATATAAAATAAACAAAGAAAAATAACTTTTGATATAAAAATAATCATAAGAGTAAAAAAGATAAGAATTGATAATAAAAGATTTAGTCTAATCTCATTTAAAGCAACAATCATAAATTTTAATCCCAAAACTATTAGATAAAATCAACCGTGAGGCTTAAGAAGAGCAAAAAAAAATAGAAGTAAAGCAAAAACAATTATAAGCTTCTAAATTTAATGATTTATTAAAGAAAACTTAGTAAAATCCTTCCGATATAAATTATTTACTATAAAATTTTGATAAAAAAAATATATAAAATTTATTACAAAAACTATTATAGTCCTCCTTAAAAAAATAGGATATATAAATATTTTAAAACTAATAAATTTCTTTAACTTTTCGCTTTATTATTTCTTAGGAAAAAATCCCTTTTTATTTACCAAAAATAACTATATTTTTTATTGCAGAAAATGCAGTTGGATAAAATCGAATTTCGTAAGGGAAAATAATTAAAATTGAAAAAAAAAATCAGGTTTATGAAAAATAAGAGATTTTTTTGGAAAAAATAATGGACAATATTTATTTGTTTTAGAATTTCTAATTTAATTTAATGCATTTCGATTCTTAGGATATTTTAAAGGTTTTTTTAGAAGAAAGCAAGCCTTTTTTATCATAAAAAAAACTGGAGAGGACTTTAAGAATATTTAATTTAATAAAAATAGATGAAAATAATGATAAAATTTACTCAAAAAGCCTTTTTTTGGATTTCCCTTAGGAAAATTTATACTTAAATATACAGATTTTTTTAAAAAATAAAGAAGGATTATAAAAAAATAATAATTATTTTGAACATTTAAAATTTCTAAACTAAAATTTGGGTTAGAAAATATTTGTTTTTGATGAGAATTTATATGAAGAGAAAATAAAGATTTATAATTTTAATGAAAATAATATACATTTAATATATCTTTTATTCCCTTTTTTAGAGGAAATTTTAGAAAGTAAATTTATTTTATTGGAAGGAGATTTTTTCGAAGTTTAATTTTTTTTTTCGTAATAAATTTTGTATTTTTTGGAAGAAATAAAATTAAAATAAGATGAAAATTATATAGAAAAATGGACTAAAATATTAAAAATCGATAAAATGGAAGATTTAAATGAAGATTTTGAAGAAAATGATTTATATTTTTAAGAATAAATAGAAGAATTTATGAAAGAAAGGAAGTTTTGGGAAAAAAATGATACTTTTTTGGATGAATTGCGAGATATTATTACTTGCTTGAGTAAATATATCAGCAAAAAATGCGAAGAAAAGGAATATTAACATTATATATAGGTATTTTATAAATTAGCTGAAAAAATATGCCTATATATAGACAAAAAACCATATAAAATCGAAAATTTTTGTAAAAAAAATCTCGTTTTGGGATTTCTAAAAGTTTTATTGGAAAAAAGAATATTATTATATCAAATAAAAGATATATAGAAATTGGTTTATTTTTTTGTTTATTTTTTGGAGAAATTCGACAAAGGAAAATAATTGACAAATTTTTTTAATTAAAGGATTTTTTTGGAATTTTAATATGAGTTTAGTTTTTAGTTTTCTTCGCTTTTTATTTATTTATTTTAATCTGATTATTTTTTCATGGTTTTAGACATTATTATTTCATACAATGATAATATTTTTGAGATTTTAACGGCTATTTTAATAACTTTTTTATAGTATATGTGGAGTTTTTTGGATAAAAATGTCTTTTCATTTGATTAATTTTTGTTTGTTTTTCATATTTTTCCTTGGGTTTTGAATTTCCAGTCGTTTTTGGAAGATGTAAAGACTCTTTATGAGAAAATAAAGTCTTTTTAGGGCGTAAATATATATGAAAACATAGAAAAAGAGGCATTTTCATAAATTAAAATTTAACTTTTGGTGAATTCACTGAAGAAGCCAATTTTATATTAAAATTTGAGGAAAATAAAAGAGGAAGAAATTTAAAATAGTAATTTTTAGAATTAAAAAGGTGCTTTTTTTTTAGAAGAAATAGACTTTTGGAGGGAAATCCAACAAAACTAAAATGAAAGTCCAAATAATACATAAAAAAATATTAAAAATAATAATAATGTTTTATATAAAAATACGGTAAATACAGGAGATAATAATGAGGAAATATACGAAATAGAAGAAAAAAGCGATAGTTTAAAATAAACAGAAAAATTAAAAAGCCCAAAAAGTGACAATGAAGGTTTTTTCGAAGTAAATGAATAAGTAAAAAAGCTTGAATAATAATTAAATAATTCGAATTTTTCGAGCTTTTTAATAGAAGAAGATGGAGAATAGATTGAAGCAGAAAATATTGCAAAATAAATAAAGAATTTATACACTTATTATATATAGAATAATATCCAGAAACATAAAATTTAAGAATTGGTGGATGTCACCGATAGTTAACATCCTTTAAAGATGATTTGTTTATTAAAATAAACACTGCATAAATTAAATGATGGTTTAAGGTTAATTAATTATTGCGCTTTTGAAAGAAATTAGTTTATAAAAGGATTATTTAATAAATATACTTAGATTGAAAATATATTAAATTTGGAAAATAAAAATAACTTAAAAAGATTGCATTTACATAAGTTCTATAATGAAATTTAAAATTTGGATACTCTATTGATTAAATTTTATTAGGTTTTGAGAAAAATTAATAAAACCTCCTTATTTTTGTAGAACTTTTTTAAATATTAACCTTTTTGGAGAAAAATAAATAGTTTTTATATATAAGAGACTCCTTTAATGGTTTAATCATTTAAAATACACTAAATTCATAAAGAAAATATAAAAATAATAAAGTCTTTTATTAAATAAATTATAACAGAAAATAATTAAAACGAAAAAATGGTTTAATACACTCAAGAAGATATAAAGAAAGTTTTTTTATTTTTTCTTTAAATTAATTCTTATTTTTAATCCTCATAATAGACTTTTGATATATTTTTTTTCCTTTATATAGAAGAATTGGATAAAATACATGTTGAATATATGGAAAAATATAATTTTTTAGAATAAAAAATAAGCAGTTTTAAATAATTATATACTGATTGCACACGTTTTTACGAGAAAGTATAAAAATAGATAATTTATTTAAATTTTTAGGCTTTTTCTTTACATTAGAATCTCCTATAAATAGAAGTTGGAGATGTTTTTTTAATTAAAAACTGCCTTTTTGAAATTTAAAAATTAGAAAAAAATACATTTACATTAAAAAATGCAATCGAGGATTAATCTAATTCTTATATATAAATGATGGAAATAGCTAGGAATGAAAAAAATAATTATTATTAAGAAATCTAAAAAATTTAATGGCATTTTTTAGTATTGAAAAATTTATTTTTAAAATTCTTTTAAATAAAAAATTTCAAAAATCAACTATTTTAAATGCTCAAAATTTAAAAGGAGAATTTTTAAGTCGAAAAAACATAGGTTTTTATTGAAAATATGAATAATTTTTATAAATTTAAGTTTTTTTTGGAAAAAATAAGTATAATAGCACCAAAAATATTAACTTTTTGGTTGTTTTTGGAAGGTTATTTGTTAATATTTTATAAAAATTTAGAACATAATAACAAATTTATTTTAGAAAATTATAAAAACTTATCATTAATTGAAAAAGATATTGAAAATATTATTTAAGAGCTTAAAAATGTAAAAATATAAATGTAAAATAAATAAAATTTAAACTCTTCCAAAGATATTAAGAATTAATTAATAATTTTAGATGAAAAAGGAATTAAAAAATTAAAATAATTCAGTTTTTATTCCAATTTATAATTTATTTCTTATAAAAAAATTTCAACAGTATTGAATAAAGCTTAAATTTTAAAAAATATAATTATTGATTAATATAATAAGTAAATTAATTATAAATATATATATATATAAATAATATAAATATAGATATAAATTTTATTTCATATATGTATAAATATATTTATTTTTACATATATAATCTATAATTATATATATATTTATATATATATATATATTTTATACAGTAAAATTGGCTTATAATTAGTTTCTGAGAATTATTTATTATAATTTATTGAAACTAATTAATTATTCTTTACAAAAGAACCTTTATTAGAATTATATATTTAAGAATTAGATATCTTATAAGAAATAAATGAGGATAAAAATTATATTGATTAGATTTTGTTGACTGAAAATGCAAGAGAAATGAAGGAGATTTTAATAACTATATGTAAATATTAGAATAAAATTAATACTTTAAGAAATGGACTCTAAGTACAAAATAAAGTATTTTAATATAAAAATAAAGAAGAGAAATAGAAAATAGAAAGTTAAATTTTAACAAAAGTATTTCCAGAATTCGAGAAGGATTTAAAAGATAAGAAATTTTTGAGAATCACCGAAATTATCTAAAAATATAAGGAAATAGTTAAAATAATTTTTGATATTTTTGAAGGAAAAAATAATAAATTATCCAAAAAAAATTCAGAAACTGATCTCTAAATATTAGCCTAATTATAAAACAAAGAAGAAGATGTAAAAATGCCATCTATTTTTTACAAACTGAATACAAATGAAAGATAAATAATATTAAAAAATAATTAACTTTATAAAGATTTTAACATTTTAATTTAAAATAAAATTAAATAAAAAAATGACGACGTTATTTTAATTGCAAATGTAGGATAAGTATTAATGTAAATATTTGAATAAGGAAAAATAAATGAATAGGATATAAGATAAATAATATTAATAAATAAATTGGGAGGAAACAAAGAGATGAACATATATTTAATATAAATGAAAATTATATAAAATGTGTATTTGTGTTTAGAAAATATAATTTTTTTTGCCTAATTTTTTGAAAATTATTAAGAAGAATTTACAAATTAAAAAATGAATAAAAATAATTGGAGTAATATTGAAACTGATTTTTTTTAGAATTTACAAAAAACAACAGAAAAAATTAAAAAAATTTAATTTAATCAATATATTTCTTAATAGTGTAAAGTAAATTAATATTAAAAATAATATATATATATATATATATATATATATATAATATTTTTTAATATATGTTTATTTATTATTTTATATATAGAATATTATTATTCTTTTAGCTTAGTCTATGTTAAATGTTTTTGAATTAATTAATAAAATTTGGAATATTTATTATAATTTTTATAAATAATGGGATATTAAAAAATAATAATTTTAAAATAATATTATTCAAATATATGATGATGATTTTTCTTTAAAATACTAATAGATTTTGGACTTTTCTATAGATATTAATTTATAAATAAACTCTTTTTCTTCTAAAATAAATATTTAATTATAAAATTAAAATAATTATTTTCTCACAAATTGGGTAAATAGTTTAGACCAAAACTTTTAGAATTAGTTTTACGAATTTTTCGGCTCTAAAGATTTTGATTTATTGTAATAAAAAAGTAAATAAATTAATATATTGAGAAAATCTGAAATATAATGCTTTAAAAGAAATGTTTTGAGTTTAGAAGAGTTCCTTATTAAGAAAAATAATAAATAAATTATAATCGATAAAATAAATTCTTTATTTTTATAATATATTTAAATAATAAATTGTCCAATTTTAAAACAAAAAAATGTTTAAAACTAGAAATTTATATATGATTTTATTTAAGAAATGGAAGATATTTACTAATTATAAAATACATTAAATACTTTAAAAGTTTTTTTCGAAAATGTGAATGAATATGACAAAAAATAAATTTCTTAATTTAAAAATTCTCTGTTAAAAGCAAAGAAAAATAATTTAATAAATTATTTTATTTAATATATAAATTAATATTGAACAAAAAACAAAAAAAAAACAAATTATATATTAATTTTTATACAAATAATTTTTTTGTCTCAAAATGGATAATTATAATTTAATAGAAGAAGGATATTAAAAAAATAATTAATAATTTGATTATTTATAAGTGCATTAAAAATATAAATATTATAAAAAAAAGATTAAAACAAATCTAGTTCATCTTAAGATAGCCTTTTTTCATCTACATCTTCAGAAGATTTTCAAATGAAAGAAAGCATAAAATATAATCTAAATATATTCGAGAAGCTAAAACCGAAATAAAATACATAATATATGATGTAAAATGAGAAAAATTAATAACTTCTATATGCAAAATATGATAAATAAAATCTTAATTGGGATATATATTCATCTTAAGAGCCTAAAGTAATACCTCTTTTTACATTACATATGTTAAAATCACAAAATGAATTCGTTTTATGGAATAATACATGTCAAAAATGCTATAAAAAGCCTTATTGTTTACCATTTACGACTAAAAGATAGTAATTATTATATATAAAACACACTTTGATTTAAAAAAATATCCCTAAACTAACAAATTTACACTTTTTAGATATTGTAATACCAAAAATAAATGATAAAATAGATGTAATATGTCCCTTTACATAATGTAAAAATTTAAAAACATGTCCATATTATTTCAATAACGCTGATTTTTCATTTTTTAATATGGAAAATTAAAAATAAAATGAATATATTTTTATAAGGACAAAACTACCAGATTGGAATGAAAATATATAAGCATTTGTAATAAATTCAGGAGGAAGAATTAGTTAAGCTTCCAAAAAGAATTTTTAATTAATAAAAGAAGATAAAAATGAAAATGTAGAAGAAAATGACTATATCTATGTGCTATAAATGGGAAAAATATCATAAAATTAATACGTTTTAGATTTTATATACCCTTTTACTTTTGTTTAGACTTTTGCAATAGGATTAAGTACTTTTAATTGGAAGTAGAAATGATAAATTAAATTTGATATAATATATATATATATATATATATATATATATATTTATATATATACAATCATAACATTTATTTGTTTATATTTCTAATTTTTTTTATTATATTTTCATTTCAAAATAAAACTTTTTTTGAAAAAAGTTAATAATTATTTATTTTTTAAAAACTGTTTTTTTTTAATTTTATATTTAATATAATTATAAAATGGATCGAATTTAAAAAGTTAACTATTTAAAAGATGTTGAAACATATTTAGAAAGTCATAAAGTATATTCTATTTTCGAAAATTTATTAAAAGACTTGATTATTAGTTAACCTGAAAAGCCTATTGACTATTTAATTAATAAAATTCAAGAGCCTAAATGTAAGAAATAATTTTAATTAAATATTTTTTAATAAAATAAAACAGTAAAAAAAGTATTTTTGGTTGGTCCTCCAGGCTCTAGAACTTCCGAATTGGCCTCTTAATTAGCGAATGAATATAAATTTGCATGCATAAGCATAGGAGAGATATTAAAAAAATAGATTTCCATGAAGAATATTTATGGGTAAGAAATTGAGAAATCTTTTTAATAATTATCTTATGTAAAAGATGATATTATTATTTAATTAGTAAAATAAGAAATCGAATAATTGGAAAGCAATAAATAAAACTATTTTTTGGAAGGTTTCCCTAAGACTAGAGTTTAAGCTATTGCTTTATAAAAGGCAGGTATTATTCCGGATACATTTATTATTATAAATAAAGATGATAATAATATTAAAAAGTCTTGTTAGTAATTTTTTTATTATTATATTTTATTTTTTATTTTTAAAAAAGAGAGAAAATTTGTTAAAATAAAGATGGTTTTTTTTCAAATTAAATAATTGAAAACAAAAATAAAAATTCTTAAAATTATGCTTTGGAATATTAATTGTTAATATATATATATATATATATATATATATATATATATATATATATAATATATATCTCTATATATATATATTAAAAGAAATATTAAACATGTTAAATAAATGTATGATAAATTTTATTTTGAAGTTGATGCAAACGGAAATGTTTCAGATTAATAAATATTAGAAGATATGGCAGTATTTAAAAATAAAAAAATAATATATAATAAAAATAAAAGCATTTGATGTAATTCAAAATAAATCCAAAATCCCCTAAAAGAGTTGCCAAAATTATTGTTACAGGTCCTCCAGGTAATCTTATATAAAATAAACCAAAAAAATTATAAATAAAAAAGGTTCCGGAAGAACAAAATTGTCTAAAAATTTGGCAAAAAAGTATGGATTAGTATATATATCAACAACTGAATTGATAAGCAATTAAGTAAATTTAAAAACTGAAGTGGGAAAAGTATGTATGTAAATTGTAAGTTAGGGAGATTGTGTTCCTGATGAAATAATAAATGGTTTAATTGATAATAGAATAAAATAGACAGATTGCCATTTATAAGGATTTGTATTGGATGGATTTCCTAAAAACATAGTATAGTTATTAAGTTTGCAAGACCTTTAGATAGTTCCTACTTTGATTGTCGAATTAGAATTATCAGATGATATTGTTTTGTAAAGATTTAAAGAAAAAAAAGTTGATCCTGAGTCTGGTATAGTTTATGATAGATTAAATCCTACAAATGATCCTTAAATAACTAAGAGACTTTTATAAAATCCAAATGAATAAAATCATATTATTAATAAAAGATTGAGAATATGGAAAGAAAATTAAAAGCATTTTCATTAGCATTATAATCATTTAATTTTCAAAACTTCAGGAAACTTAACTCCTAAGAATATATTGGAAAAAGTTAGTTTTCATTTGGAAAATTATGAAAATTGAAAGAAAAATAATTTTTATATATATATAAATATATATATAATTATTATATTTTAAATAAAAATAACATGAGAATATATAAATATAAAATAAAATTGATAAATTTTTAATAAATCATTTGAATTATTTATTAAAACTTAAAAAATGGATTAATTGTGGAATAACTTTAAATATGTTATTTAAAATTTTAAAGTCGTTGATCATGATTTCGATTGCAGAATTCCTTATAATAGATTCCTTAGGTCTATTAGGCCTATAATATTGGCATTTTCTGCATTAACATTATCTTAAATATTTATTAATGATAATAATATTTATTTATAAAAAAAATATAAAAAAAGCAAATATTTTAAAGAAGACCCAATAAATGAATTTGTTAGAAGATAAAGAATAAAATTTGCACCTTTTTATTTTAATTATTATGATTTAAATTTGATAAATTAAATTTAATAAAAAAATGATATTGAAAAATGAACTTTTTTATTTTATTTTTTTAATAATGAATATAAAAATATATATATTTTTTATTATTATTAAATAAAAATAATTAATTATATAAATTTTTATTTGTAAAATTATATAAATTTTCTTTTGTTATATAATAAATAATATGATATGTTTTTATGAAAGTATTTTTATTAATTTTTTTTATTATTTTATTGTTTTCAAATTAAGAATAAATATTAGTATAGATTTATTTATTTAAAGAAATACTTCTTTAGATTTATTCTTCAATAGAATATTTTCAGTTTTAATTATTTTAAAATTTATTTTCCTTTTAAACATAACTATGAAAATAATTTCACTCTTAAATACTTTTAAAAACAAACTTTTATTTAATATGAAATTTTATTCTCGTTTATATTGTTTTATATTTAAAAATTACTTATATAAAATAATAATTAGTAATTTAAAAAATATTAAAAATTTTTGAATAAAAACTAATTTAAGTTTATTTAATCCGACTTATTATGATAAATATTTTAAATATGTTGGTTTATACCATTTTTTAATTTATTTTTAAAAAATAAATAATTTTTTTATATAAAATTAACAAGAACATATAATAATTAAATATAAATATATATATATATATATATATATATATATATATATATAAATATTATTTAGTGCTCATTAGTCATAATATTATTGATTAAAAAATTATTATGATATATTATTAAAAGTAAACATGATTAAAATTGAATTTATTTATTATATTATTTTTAAAAAAATAGCTTTAGAAAATGATAGATTTAATAGAAATAATAAAATGAAAATATATTAAAAGTATGTTAAAAAAAGATGTAATAATAAATAAATAATAAAATATATAAAAAGAATTATAAAAAAAAAATGTATATATTAATTCCGTAGGAATAAAAAAATAAAAAATAAAATATTATATAAAAAAATATAAAAATATATTTATATTTATATTTATATATATATATAATATATTATATTTTTTTTATATAGATATTTTTTATGTATATTTCTTATTACTTTTTTACATATATATATATTATAACTTAACATAACTAATGATTATGATTATTAATAATTTTTAACATTATTTTTATAGCATTTATCAGTTCTATATTTTCTTATTAAAATTTAAAATATATTCTTTTAATTTATTTATAAAAACAGGCTGACTAAACATAACTTTGTTTTTTCATTATAAATAATCAATTATTTTATTTATAACAATTTTTTCATATATTTCTATAATTTTAATCATAATAAATTTTTTAATTATATAAATTTATATTTTAAAATTAGTTAATATTAGATTTATTTTTTAATATTTAATCATAAATTTATTATTTAATTTTTTTTTTTTAAATTATAGTTATGATATTATGTTATGGTTTAAACATAATTTTTTGCTTAAAAATAGATGTTAAAATAAATGATTTATATGATTTTAAATTAAAAAAAATATTTATTCATAACATTTGAAGAAAAAATATAATGAATACATAAAAAAAAAAATTATGTAATGAATTAAAATTCAAAATATAAGCTTAATATTTTTTTTTTCTAAATATAAAAATATTCCATATTTTATTATATAAAAAACCCTATTATAAAGTATTCATTAAAATAATTTTGCTATTTATTATTATTTGATTCAATACATATTTATATTAAATAATTATATTTATATAAACTAATTTTAATTAATTATAATATAAGATATTAAATTAATCTTTAAAATAATAATTATATATATATTATTTTTTGATATATTACTATAAATAATATTTATATAAAAATTTAATAAAACAAACTAATAAATTATATAAAACAATTTTTTAAATAAATTTAAAGCTTTCAAAATAATATAAAATTAATAAAAAATTTGAATTAAAAAAAATTTATTGACTTTTTCTCATATTTAAAAAATAACAAAAAATTTTATTTTTTTATATTTTTATTTTTTACTTAAATAAAAAGAAAATTTATTTTAAAAAATAAAGCAAATTAATTTTTGACTTTTATAATTTTAAAGTATTAATTTATTAAAAAATTATTTATATTTATATTAAAAATATAAAAATATTTATCATATTTTCATTATCTTTATTTATACTTAAATCAAAATATTAAATCTCCAACGTTTTCTTCTTATTATTAATTATTTTCTTATTATTAATTTTCTTACTTTGCTTCATTTTTGATTAATAATTAAGGAACTTTAAGTTTTTTAATTTTCTTAGGTATCTAATAAAAAATAAAATTAAGCAAAAACAAAATTAATAAAAAAATAACATTTGGTGGATATAAATTAGTCATAGTCGCTTTAACTGCAAGTTTATTGAATTCTTCTTAATCTCCTTCTTAATAAGTTTTTATAAGCTAATATTAAAACATAATATTTTTTATTTATATTATATTTACTTAACAACTCAATTAATATTAATTAGTAGAAAAATATCCTGGTATTCTAAATAAAAAAATAAACAAAAAAATACATTAAATATTTTATATAAAAATACTCAGAAGGTAATGAGTCTAATTCTTATTCAGCTCTAATTATTTCTTATTAAAGTAAGCAAAGTGCAATAATGCATAATCCCCATTGTTCTGATTAATATTTTTATTTATCATTATTTTTTTATTTTTATATTTCTAATTTTAAAAATTATATCGCCTTTTCATATCTTTTTTAAAATAAAAAAAATATTTTTTTTATATAAATTGTATTTTACTTATCATATTCAACTAATAATTCAACATAATATTCAAATACTTGATTTCTTTCGTAAACTTTTCCTGATTCTTCTGCAATTTCGAGACATTTATTTATTGATTCTAAAGCTAAGTCTATTTTTTAATTCTAAACTAAATACTTACAGTATTTCATTTAAAGTTTTACAGCTTCTGTAAAAGAATCACAAATTTTAAAATATTATATAGCCTTTTTATTTATAATTAAAATAATAATTAATATAAATATATTTACTTATTCACAGATTGCATTTATTTATTCATAGTCTTGTTTTTTTAATTATCCATCATTATATTTGCTATTTCTTAATAATTTCTTGCAGTTCCCCACACTCTAATATAAAATTATATTAATAATAGGTTTTATATATTTTATTTTCTACTCATTGAGCTTTTCATTACATTCTATACATTTATTTAAACCTTAAATTGCTTAGTCCCAAGCCTTACAAGCTTTATATTATTTTACTATTTAAATTTTTTTATTCTTACATAATTTTTAATATTTAAATATATATTACCTGAATCTTCAAAGTAAGAAACTGCCGAGTTATGATCTTTACTCCATTTGAAAATTCCAGTTTTTAATCTTTTTTTATATTTATTAAAATTTTTTTTGAACTAGATAAATTTCATTTTTTTACTCGTCTTAGCCTTTTTTATATAATTTATCAGCTTATTATATACTATTAGGTTAATTATCCATATTTTATAGGTTTATTAAAAAATATATTATTAATTATAATATTTTATTATATCATGTATTTATAAATATAAATTTTCACAAAAGTGTATATTTTTTTACTTTTAAATTAATAATTAGTAAGTAAAAAAAAAAAAATCAATAATTTTTATATCTTATAAAATGTAAAAAAAAAAAACTCAAATATATTTTATTAAAAATAAATTGAATACAAACATTTATCTTCCTTAAAAAATATCTTTAATTTATTTTTACTAATAGAAAATATTATATAAAACTGAAATTAAATTTTAAATTCATAAAGCATTAAAACAAGATATAACTATTATTTGGCATTAAAATTTTATATGAATACAGTATATTGTAAATATTTATTAGGCAGATAAAAAATAAATTAAAATATTTTAGAAATATTAAATTAATATAATTTATCAACAATAATATAAAGTTACAGGCATTTATTATAAAAAGTTAAGCAGTAAAAAAATTTGAAGACATAAATTTAAAAATAAAGCATTTAAAATTGAAATAAAAAAATAAAAGTATTGAATATGTAATCAAAACATTATAATTAATTTACTTACTAAAACAGTACATGAGCTAAAATAATATAATTATATATAAATAAAATTTATATACATATATATATGATATAAAAATTTATATATATATTTATTTCTATAAATATACATATATATTTATATTATTATTATTAAAATATATTTTATTTATTTATTTATTTTATAAAATTTTTTTTTATCTTTATATTTTTAATATTATTATATTTTTATTTTTATTTATATAAGAATATCCGATTATATTATCTTTAAATAAATGTTAATATTTTTTTAAAATTATCTTTTTTTTATAATAATTACTTTAGTTTTTATTTGCTTTATTTATTTAAATACATTATTTATAATTTCTTCATATTCAATAATATTTTTTTAACATTATTTATTATTTTTTTTAGTATTATTTTATATATTTAAAAATATTCTGAATTTTTTAATAACTTGTATAAATTTTAATTTATTAAAAATATTAATTATTTTTTTAATTC